ACCAGGGAATACCTATTGCAAACATGTTTTTTTTCCTGTGTTTTTTATTTTGGCTATTGTTGGAGCTCCATGGGAAATACAGCACTGACCTGGCATGTGGTTAGGACAAGCTGAGGTGCGAGGGAGAGTGGCAGACAGAGGCAGCAGTGTGGACAAAGTCTCAGAGGCCAGACATCCTAAGAGGGTTTTGGAGCAAGCTAAGAGTTATCGGGGGTGTTGCTCAGGGGTTGGGAGCCTGAACCCTGAACCTTGCTCTGAAAAGGCAGGTTAGAGACACAGGGCGTGGAAATGCCCAAGCCAGTCAGCTGGGATAGTGCACCTTTGAGACGATGAAGAGCACGTGACTGTTGGAGAGGTGGCAAGTGCTTGAAAAGAGTTTCTTTCACCATGTAGGAAGACTAACCTCCCACACAAACTGGCCCAGTAGGGCCTAGGGGTGAGGAATGGGCGTGAGCTCAGGGCCAGCTCCTGTGCCTGTGGCTATGGGAAACAGAATTCTAGGAGGCACCAAGGAGTCCCAGATGCTCCGTGTTCAAGAGAGGGAGGAACACAAGGCTGGAACTGGCCACAGAGTTGCTACATTACCATTTGTCCAGATGACATGGCTTCAGGGACAATGCATGAATGATCATGCCGCTTTGATGACAGATTTCTCACACTCTGACATCTTTGGTCTCTTGTCACCTTCTTGGTTGTTTTCCTCCTTAGGTTTCTGAAAACCTAACACTTGGGATGTGTGAGTCTGTAGGTAGATTTCTCTGCATTTCTCTTTCCTACCATATCCCTTCTACCTACCCATAAGTCTGTTCTCCAGGCCAATTGATTGGGCTTTCTGGAACAGAACCATTTCTCGACTCCACACCTGTTGGAGATTTTATTATTTTCTAGGTATCATTCTCTGGGCATTAGTGATGTCATTACCCACAATCTCAGGCAGCTGAGGAAGCAGAGAGCTGCTGAGACCTTGCAGCATCCCGAAGGTGACCAGCCCAGGTGGGGGAGGGGAGTTCATGCTCACCTGCAGACCACGTTCACATCGGAATGAGTTATTCTGCTCAGTAACAGACAAGACCTTCACATCCCTGCCTCCCTCTCATCCTTTCCTACAGACCACTCAGAGCTCCCACCTCTCATTTCAGCCTTTCCCATCTACAGAGGCACTTCGCTGGCTTGAGTTCTGAATTGTGATGCTTATTCACCATATTCCACTGGCCATGAGGGGAAGTGGTTTTATTCATCTTGTAAATAACCAGTGGCTGTTTGTGGAACAACCTGGGTTAGTGGAGAAGGTATTGTATAGTTAGAAAATTGAAGCTTTGTGGTTTCCATCCCCTGAGGAGGTGAATGGCTCTTGGCTCTCTCATTCTCAGCTCCATGTTTGCCTTCACCAGAGCAAGCACAAATGGACACCAAGGCCAAGTGCCTCAGGGCTGGCTCATCTGGAAGACACCTGTGAGCACATGTTGAATCCTACCTGATGAGTGTGAAGAAAATCATTCTGACCTAGACCTCATGATACCCTGCAGGTTAGAGCTCCACAGCAAGAGCTCAGACCCAGAGGGTTCTAAATCAGACTATAAGTCTGTAATTCAAGTTGCCTCTTCCTCTCTGTTATCACTTCTCTCTGACCTCTATTGCTACTCCACTGCCATCTTCATCTTTGTAGACCACATCCATCTCAAAGGGATGCTTTATTCATATAGCTCACAAGTGGGTAACTGGTGTCCAACATGTGGCTGGTAATATTCTGGACCCACAGGACATAGCGTCGAAGGAGAACAAAAGCAGTCCCTGCTTCCAGGAGGCTTACATCCAGGAAGGGCAGAAATAAATGCAGATATCTTGCTGAGAGGACATAGCAGGGCAGAAGGAACACCATTTTGATGAAAATGTTCAAAGAAGAAATTCAGATAAGAGGACATTTGAGGAGAAACCAGACTGAGTTGGTCCCTGTGTGTAACTAGGGAACAGGATTCTAGGCAAAACCAAATGAAAGACCTTGGCGTGTTCAAGAGAGAGGAAGGAGGGCAGCGTGCCTGGAGGTGGGAGAAGGCATGCAGAGGGTGTAAGGGGAGTGGGTGGGGGAATGCAGTACAGCCATGGAGGGCGTTCTGCTCTGAGTGCGCTGAGAAGCACTGCAGTGTCTTGTGTAGAAGAGATATGTCCTGATTTGTGTTTTGGGAATAGTCTTCCTTCTTAGTGAGGGAAGAGTATGAAGAGCAGCATCTGTGGCAGGGGCCACTGCAGAGGTCCAAGTGAGCCATAGTATTGGTCCACTGGGCCAGTAGGATCTGCTGAGATTAGAGGCATGGTGTCATTCTCCTTACTCCTCCCCGCTGCTTCCAGAACAAACTCAAAAAGGCCAGGCTGTAGGTTTTTCAGTGTCTTGGAGCCCTTGGGTGGCTCCATTGGCCCATGGCATTGGGGTTCTTCCTGGCCGCCGCCAGTCTTTCATGCCTAGCCCTAGTCTAGTGCTCCAACTGCCTGAAATCTGTGCCCATGTGTGGCTGTCATCCACCCCTGAGCACTTTTTGCCCGTTCTCCTCCCTGACCTCAGTTTGTCCCATGGAGCAACTCTTCCTCTTTGCCACCCTTTGATTCCAGCACTGCCAGTGGGCCTGAGAGCTCCCAGCATCCCTTGCACCCTTCCAGGGCAGTGTGCGGGGAGGTGTGTCACTATAACACAGACTTACCTCTGCCTCCCCTGGGAAACCCTGATCTCTGTATGGGCAGAGCCTATGGCTTTGTCCTGCCAGTGTCTCCAGGTCTGCACACAGTAGACTTGATGGGTGAATACACAGGACAAAGAAGCACAATTGTAGCTCCTACCATCATCTGACTCTTGGGATTTTAGATCATTTCCTTTGGTGCTTAACCCAGCTTCTCTTCTGTGCAGCCCTAAAGCCCATGTGTCTCCAGTAAGGCAGTAAGAAGAAGAATATAAGAGGCACAGACTCCATGAGGACTTTCTGTGGAGGATGGGCTGTCACTATGGTGGCAATGCTGGGTGCAAGCTGAAGAGAGCACAGGTGTTCACGCCATGTGTTAGGGTTTGTGTCTAGATACCCCCGCAAAGCCTCAGGCAGTTTTAGATGGGGCCTTTTAGGAGGTGGCTGAATCTAGAGTGTTGTGTGTGACTGATTCATGGTAAAATATTAGGATTAAGGATGCTGGGATTTGGGGTGGGTGACTGCTGGATCAGTCCACTGATTGGATTGGCAGGGCCCTAATCACAGCGGACTGGACACAATGTTACTTTTGCTATATTGTGAGTGCCATGAATTGTTCTCTTCCAATGGCCCTCTGCCAAGCTACCCTGCCTTGGGGCCAGGTGGTTAAACCTAAAACCTCTCCAAACTGTGAGCCAAATAAACCTTTCCTCCCTTAACTTTCAATATTGGGTATTTTGTCTCAGCAGTGAGAAAAGGAACTAGGACACCATGCATCCACTGCCCTTGGAGGATGGTTGTGGGCGTGCTGAGGTGGAGGGTTTCTGAAGAGTCTTTCCTGGACCCAGGATGTACTAAGTGCTCATACAGTCTGGGAGGAAGATAAAGGAGGAAAAGGAAGGATGGAAGGAGGCTAGGGCAGGAGGGAGAAGGAAGGAAGTGAGGGTATAGGAAGTACTCTAAGAAAGGAGGGAAAGAGAGAAAAGGGAGTGATATGAGGAAGACAAGGATTAAAGGGAGAGTAGTGGACTGAGTTGGGTTCAGTCCAGAGAAAAGCAAGGAAGGGCTTTGTGTGCGTGTCTGCAGTGGAGATGGGAGTACAGAGGACCCGCTGGGGTCTGGGAGGAGTTGTTGACTGAGAGAGGAGCTCACATCTCTGAGTTTCTGTGACATTCCAGGCACATGAAAAGCTACTTTATACAAATCATAGGAAGCATAAGCTTGGCCATCAGGACCAGGTAGAGCTTGCGGGGAATCCTGACTCACTTCCCAGCTACGTAATGTGTGTGCTTTGGTTTCCACACCTCTCAGTGGACCTACGAACACCTGTCACACTGGTCCTTTTGCAGGGTAAAGTAGTGGGAAAGTTTGGGAGGAATTGGAAAATTTGCCACAAAACTCAAAATGTGGATCTTATTCAAAGTCTCTCACTTTTAATTTCTCATTGCTGTGTTTTTATTAAATCAGGAAAAAACACAGAAGTTCATCTTCCAGCCAGATTATCCCTGTTATCTGTGCTAACCCTGAACATGGCGTTACCTCACTGTGTAAACCAAGTGAACAGCATGCACCTTGCTTCTGTTTAGGGACAGACTCCCTAGTCTAGTAAGTGTGGTCACCTCACAAAACCAACCCCCAGGAGCAAGGTACACATTTTAACCAGAGACAGAGGGAAATGGCCTTGGTGACCTTTCTGTCCATGATGGGGGCATCTAAATGCAGCATGTGTCAGCTCTGGGACAGCAAATATGGCTGTGCAAGACAGCGTGCAACTCTCCACATGCTGATACAGGTCTCAGTTTAAGCAAAGTACAGTATTGCAAAAAGCAAGATTTATTAACAGATTGGGTGGTGTGCTTCAGTTTATGAAAAAAAGGAGGGGAGAAGTGTGTGTGTGTGTGTGTGTGTGTAAGACAGAGACAGAATGAGAGAGACAGAGAAAGAGAGAGAGGTGCTCCAAATGCCTGTAGAAAGATCAGTCCACTTCTGGCAGGATAGGAAGGGGACCCCGTAGCAGAGGGTGAGAAAGAAGCAAGTCTTTCTTTCTCAGGTAAACCTTCTTGTGCCTTTTGAATTTGAGACCATGTGTTACCTGCAGTGTGGGACTACACAGCTGGCCCAAAGACAAGCCTCCCTGACACAGAAGCCTGAGCCCTGTTCCCTAACCATGCACCTCTTCTTTCCTCTGTAGGGTGCTCTTTCCTGGCCAACAGTTCATTAATCAAGAAATTTAAGGCACACAGATGAAGATTTCCCTTGCGATGTGTTATTAAATTGGCTCTGGTTAATGCCTACCTGCCCACTGATTTTGGCTTCTTTTCTTTCCCTCAGGGGAAGAAAGGCGACATGGGTGCACCAGGACTTCTGGGATCGCCAGGGCTACAGGTAATTCTACCTTTAAATCCTTTTCCATCACGTGCTGCTGCCTCTGATTCAGTCAGTGACCAGGGAGCTGTTCTCGGGCTGTCACCATCATCCTGCAGGTCTGATCAAGGCACTGAAAAGAATGGCCAGTGGACCATCTGTCTTCCCCCTGCCCTCCTGGTCAGGAGCTGGAGCTACAGGGCCATCCATTGTCCTTCTGGACGACTTCTGTCTAGCAGAGGGATGGCCAGCTCTGATGAGAGGGGACCAGACTTGAGAAAAGCACACGGTGGGAGGCAGGGAGAGAGCACAGGGGCAGGATGGCACTGATCCCTGCAGAGCAGGCACACTGCCCCTGAGGACAGGAAGCCACCAGGAGGGTCAGTGGTGGAGGTAGAATACAGGCCTGTAGGACAGCAGAATCTGTATGAGTGTGGTGCCACAGAACATGGAACCCTGCAGAACATGGCATGGTGACAAGAGAAATGGAAAACTCTCCCAAGGAACCAGAAAAATGGGCAGTCACTATTTTCAGAGAGGAGCGCCTAGCTGATTTCACAAACTGGGACACTGGCTATGGGCCTTCCCCTATCTGCTTCTCAGTTTCCCCTCCTGTAAAATAATGGGGTGAGGGCTTCAATCATACAAGTCTCAGACCCTACCCAGGGGCTATCTTGCTTTTCCCCCTAGATGTGTGCTCCCTTCTCCTCCTTCTCCTCTTCCTTCTCCTCTTCCTTCTCCTTCTCCTCCTCCTTCTCCTTCTCCTCCTCCTTCTCCTTCTCCTCCTCCTTCTCCTTCTCCTCCTCCTTCTCCTTCTCCTCCTCCTTCTCTTCCTCCTCCTCCTTTTCCTCTTCCTCCTCCTTTTCCTTTCCACTCCCTTCCCATCTCCATCCTTTTCCTCTTCTAATCCTTCTCCTCCATTCCTTCTCTTCCTTTTCCACATCTCCCTGTCCCAGCCCCTATGTGTGCTTTACAGCTTCTGGCTCCTCTCTGCTGTCCCATACTCAGTCCTGCTCCCTGCTCCCATGCTGTCCCACACATGCCCCTCTGATGCCGTCCCTGTGGGCATTCAGTGCCCAACCTCAGGTCCCTTGCCCATTTGAAGAGGAGGCATGAAACTCCTACATGCAGAAGGACTTGCAGGGTCTGCTTTGCCAATCACACATCTGGCTTCAAACCCAAATTCCTCCCCTCAAGGCTCCTCTTTGTAAATGAGGCATCACTGAGCCCTCATGATGCACCATAGCTGGACAGGAGGGGTGAAGCTTAGCCTTCATCTTCCTTCTTTGCTGCAGCCACAGTTCTATTCTCTCACACCTGGACTTGCCCCCAGGCCAGCAAACTCATAGTGAAGCAATCTCAGAGGGAAAGAGGCGTGGGTTCAAACCTCAATCCTCCCAGTTTCTGGCCTGGGGTGTGTGGGTTGTGGTTCTGGGTGAGTTGTTCAACCTTCTGACTTCAGTTTCATTTTTTGGTAAAAGCAATAACAATTAAAAGGAGGCCACACTGTAGAATGAAGAGCAGAGCAGGGACAGTATCGGAGATAACAAGGTCCCTAGGCACAGCCAGCACCTGGTAACTGGGGGCTCATGATGTTCTGGCTGCACTGCCTGTGAGCAGGTAGGCACCATGTTGCCACACTGTTGACTGGCTCTCCCCAGAGCCGAGGCAGAGCAGCAAGGCTCCACCCACTCCAGATGCCTCTATCCACAGGGAGGCCCCACCTAGGAAACACTGCCAGCTGCACCCAGAAACCAGCCATTGCTGCTCCCTGAGCTGGCCGTACAGAGTCTTGGTGAGTGACGGGCACTTTGGTCTCACTCTCAGTCTCCATACCAGCACCGCTCACTTCGGTCAGGGTCTATTAGGAAGTTTATCTTTCACCAAGTGCCCGGTTTTCTAAAGCCTCCACACTCATGTTGGCATTTGGCTATGAAAAATGAAAAACAGAGTGGGATTTGCATGTTTGATGATCTTGCTTTATAATTAGCAAAACTTTGGTGTTTTAAAACTCACTAGCAGCTGGGTACAGTGGTGAGCCTGAATTGTTGGTTACTCAGGAGACTGAGGCAGGAAGATTGCTTCAACCCAGGAGTTCAAGGCCAGCTTGGGCAACATGGTGAGATGCCATGTCAAATAAGAAATAAACAAATACAGCAAAATAAAATTCACCACTAATGCAGCTGTATCAAATTATTGAAAGCTGTGGAATTTTTTTTCTACCATTCTGTTTGCTAACCTGGAAAATATATTTCTGTCTTTCATTTTTAACTGTGAAGTCATTTATACTCAGTAAATTTTTACTGAATGCCAGGCATTGAGCTGGAGGAAGTATCTGCAAGTGTCGCCAGGCTTTTGGTGGCTGAGGTGTACAGGGCATAATGCATCCTGATTTACTGAAGTGGTACATCAGGACTTAGGGGTCCCCATGGTTCAGAGCCCTCCCAGTAATAGTAGGACTTAATCTTCGTTGCCTGGACTGAGTCACTGCCAGGTGGATGCAAAGCTGCGTTCAAGCTGGCCACACCTACATGGAGAGGCAAAGTTACTACAGATCTCTAGATCTCCATCTCCAATGGAGCCTCCAATTCACTCTTTTTGAAATATCCACATGCCTATCCTTTCCAAGCCTGGCTACCAGTTCTTCCTCCTGAAATTCCTGTGTTTGTTCATTTGTTGATTCATTCACTGATGGATTCATCTAGCAGATATGTATTAAGTAACCACTGTCTCAGCTCTGGAGATGTGAAATTGAGTAGCCATGATGTATCCGCTAGTGGGCAGAACAAGATGGAGACAGAGAAGGTGTCTTACTGTGTGTCCTGGATTCTGTTTGTGTCCAGATAGTGAGGCCAGCAGTTAGGGAAACGACTACCACAGAAAAGGTAGCAGTTACAGTCTCAGACAGTACACACAGGGCTGGGGATGGGTGGGCAGAGCTCTGCAGAAGCTAGAGGGAGGAGAAGATGTGGGCAGGAGCCTTTATTGTGGTGTTGGAAGGCAGAAGGGAGGCAGGGTGGGCAGCAGAGTTGCATAGAATTGTGTCATTGGAACAATTTCAGCAGGCTGTGGCAGAATTGGTTTTTTTCTTCTTTTCTGTTGCCTTTTCTTGGGGTGATTTACAGCAGAGAGATAGCGTCATGTTCTAGATGTCAGGAGCCTGATGGAGGCTGCCGATGGAGACACGGACTAGGATTGGCTGGTCTGCATATCAAAACCTTGCTCTCAGGTCCGTCATTTCTAGCAATAGGAATTAGCTCCTCGGGTCTCATTTTGAGCACTCTGAATTAGCCCCTTGTGTCTATAAGACCTCAAGGTATCAAAGCATCATTTTTTTAAAAAGTGATTTCAAAGGGAGCATGGTGGTCCATGCCTGTAATCCCAGTACTCAGGAGGCTGAGACAAGAGAATCACTGCAAGTCTGAGGCCAGCATGGGCTACAAAGTGAGTTTAAGACCAACCTGGAGTATATAGTAAGACTTACCTCATGAAAAGGTCACTTATCCGGAAGGATTATCCAGGCAACTGAACTGGAGAAGTGGTCAGGGCTCTGTGGATACTGAGACCAGGTTTGCTACACTAGTCTGGAAAATCCAAGTGGATTCCTCCTTGGTAGATTTTTGAAAGGGCCTGTGTTAGCATTGCACCAGTAAGAAAATACCTCGTAAGAGCTACTTGTGAAATAAAGAGATTTTCATTTTGGTGCATGGTTCCAGTCCTGGGTGGTCCATTGCTTTGAGTCACCGAGGAAGGAGGCTCAGCATGGTGGGAGTGTGTCAGAGTTAAGTGTTGACATTCTCAAACCAGGAACCAAGATGGAAGAAGAAACAAAGGCCCTGCAGTCCTACACTGGCCTCAGAGCCCCTACTAAGTCCCCACAGTAGGTCCCTTACCGCCACCATTGAGAAAAAGCCTTTCACATGTGGTCCTCAGTGGGACATTGAACGTTCTTCCCATCGCAGGGAACTGAGAGCAGAAGGAAGTGCATGGGCTGAGTTCCTACTAGGGTCAAGTACTCTTTGCAGCATCTGTGTGTAACTGTCTATTTTTTAATAACTGCCTGTGAGCAAAATGCATTTTTCCCAAACTAAGACACAAAGAAACACAGCTCAGAGAGGTGGCTTAGTTTTGCCTGGGATGGGATGAGGGGCTCTGCTATCATCTCAGAGCTCCTGCAGTTCCCTGGTGGCTGGCACCATGGAAGAAGCTTTGAGTGTCTGTTTCAAAAGGAAACTCACCTGCAGGAAATCTTTGTAGTAAATGTGTCAATCTTTGCTGTCTTATGCAGGGGCTCTTGTCTCCTGAGGAGAATGGAGATGTGTGTGTGTGTTCTGATCAGATGTTATTTAGGGGTTGTGCTGGTTGGTGCTGTGTGCAGTGTGAAAACCTCTGGCTTGTTGGGACTGCCCAAGAGCTCGGTGGCCCCCTGAGGTGGCAGTGATTACACTCGTGCCTCAAGGATCCACATCTTGAGGGAAAGAAGCGAACAACGAATACAGTTCCATACAGTTCTAAAGGGTGAATGTAGCCAATTTGCACCAGGAAGTTGATTGCTGTGGTAATTTATGCAAGCAATTTTCATGCATCTGCAAGGTTCATCCAACTTCATAAATGTACTCCAATTGGAACTAGGTATAATGGGAGTAATTATTTGCTCTTTCTTTATTTAGCATAATTAAGCTAATTGGTTACTTATGCATTATCACTGTAACTGCTAATCACATTAGGTAGGTACTTAGTCACTGTAGTGTTAGGAGCATCAAATGTTTCATTAATAGTAATTGCACTGTAAGTTAATTAATATGTAGAATCAGTAGTTGTGTTCATCAGTAATAATGAAAACACTCATGTATTTTGTAAATATTTACATCTATTGGCTAATTTGTCACTCAATAATTAGATTAATTGGTTACTTAGGTATTTTTGTTAATTTTAAAAGAGAAGAAACAGAGGTAATCTTTGGGAAGTGCTCCCATGCTCTGTGCTGGTTCATGGACTTTCTCAAATCAAAGTAAGATGAT